AAGGAAAGGAAATGGTGGGGTGGGGGAAGGCATTAGGACTCCTCCATGATATCCACAAACCCCTACCCAAATCCACCCCATTGTAAAAATAATAATAATACTCTTAAAAAAGACAACTGACATTTTCTTAATCTCATGTAAGGCAAAAATACATAGAAAACATTTTAAAATATATTTTTATGATCTAAAATGGGCAATCTAAGTTCTAAAAAAAAAAAAGTATGCTTGCCTTAAGTTCAGCTTTAAGACAAGTCCTGAAGGCATCTACCCTGTCTCTGGCCATTATAGAAATTTTGGAGCTTCCACAGCTTCTGACCCCACCCCCATGCCAACCCCTGAAAAGATGGTGTTTCTGACCTGTTGGCACAGGAGTTGTACTTGACCATGCTCAGCATAGCAGCCATGATGAAGAACATCAAGATGGGGTCAAGGAGGATGTACTGGGACAGAGTGAGGCATCCTGTGTCTGAAAAACATGAGCTCAGTGGTCAAAAATGTAGAAATCAGAGATGGGCCCCTCTGAGAACCAAACGCCCCAACAATAAGAAATAGTGCCCCTTACACTTAATTGCATGTAAGCATTTATGCAGTCAAGACCAGATAAGCCACTGAGTCACCAGGGAGGTGGAAGGCCACAGCTTTGGGGTACACCGAAGCCCAGGAGTAGGAAACTGTATCTCACACTGCTTTCAGGCCCATGACCCAAGAAAGGACCATGTCTTTCAATCAGATGGAGCAGTCCTGAGACGAGGGCTCTTCCTCATTTCCACCAGCAAACGGGGAATTCTGCCGCCCTGCTTATGTAACCGCAAACTACCTATACCTAGGGTAGAGTCTTAGGATTTACATGAAGTCTCTGTTGGGAGCTGATCCTCCACACAGGCACCAAAGTATCGTTTTTAAAACAAAATTTCATTACATCAAGCCCCTGCTTAAAGCCTTCAAAGTCTTGCCATCTCACTCAGACTAAGCAACCCCTCATGATAGCTGCCAAAGCCGGCATGGCCTCCCGCCCTGTGCAACCTCCTCTCCCAGCACTCTCTGCCTCACAGACTCCACTATGGCCACACTGGCCTCCTTACTGTTCCCTGAAACCACTAAGTGCTGCCTTGTACTGAACATGCCGTTCCCTCTGCCTGAACACTTTTCCCTCAGATCTCTCCATGGGTTAATCTTCTGCTTCACTCAGGTCTCTGCTCAAGGAGGTCACCTCCTCAGGGAGCTGCTCACTGGCCACCCTACCTATAATAGAATCCCTCCCCATTACTCTCTCCCTTATACCACTCTATTTTCTACATCGCACTATTGTTGAAGTTGTTACATTTCAGACTTACTAATTTACTTGCTTATTTATCATCTGCCCCACTTGAAGGTTAGCTTCATGACAGCAAAGTGTCTCATCAGCATACCCTCTGAGGCCAAAAAAAGTGGCATGGCACAGAGGAGATGTTTGAAAAATAGTTATGGAATGAAAAAAGAATAAATGCTGAATGGGTGAATAACTGAAAAAGGAAATCAAAGACACAATCCTCTATAGAAAGGCCCTATAATCTTGCAACATATCTGTCAGAACAAAGCCAGATTCACCCATGAAACACCCACCTAACTTGGCCTGGACTTCTTTAAATTTAAGTTCTATGAAGTCATGAACTCACTTTCACAAAAACAAGAACAGCAGAGGATCAACTTCTATGGATCAGCTCTCATTTATCCATGTGAGAAATAGCCACAGAAAATATTTAAGTTCTCATTTTGCTATCTCCTGCCACCCAGCTACTTCTGAGACATCTGTACTTGCATTCAGTTGAAATCACTTACCGAATGCGAACTTATAGTAACCTGAGAGAAGCAGAATTAGAATCATAAGCCTCCTTCAAATACATAAATGCACACACGCACACACACAAATTTATCTTCTTATCTACACCAAAGTCAAATGTGGATAACTTGGAGGTAATCTATTCCTTGGGATTATGTATGTGAGCTCTCTCCTCTAATAATATAAAGGCTTGCTACATACAACTATTCATATATGTAAATATTACTGGTGAAGAAAATAAGATTTGTAATACTTCACCCAATCCTAAAGTTACTGGGCCCATGGATAGGATCCTTAAATATATTGATTTCTAACTATATTCATACTGTGGCAGTCAATTTCCTAAGAAATATGGTATAAGACAACTTACCAAAGGTGAGAAGGGCAGCAGTGAGCAGTGCTGCTGGGAGGGAGTTGGACAGCTCCAATACAATGAGGTAGGCAAAGGGGACCAGCAAGGAACCAAGGAAAGCACAGAACTATGGAAGGAAAAGAGAAGCAGTCAAACAGCCAACTAAGCTAAGTATCAGAGACCTACTTGACTTGGTACAAGCTAATGTTTAAAATGGAGGACTTTGGGGCGCCTGGGTGGCTCAGTCGGTTAAGCATCTGACTTTGGCTCAGGTCATGATCTCACAGTCTGTGAGTTCGAGCCCTGTGTCAGGCTCTGTGCTGACAGCTCGGAGCCTGGAGCCTGCTTCAGATTCTGTGTCTCCCTCTCTCTGACCCTCCCCCATTCATGCTCTGTCTCTTTCTGTCTCAAAAAATAAATAAACATTTAAAAAAACTTAAAATGGAGGACTTCGATGCAGGCGTGACTTGGTGACCTGAAATCACCTGGAATATCTATAAATAAGAAAGGGCTGGTGTGACAGTGAATCGTCATATCAAGCAACATTCACGTGCCTACTGAGCACCAACTTGAACATTGATATGCAATCAGCAAAGTTCAGCCAAGTAGATGTGGGCAGGATGGCACAGTGGTTTCAAGTAGGGAACTCCGAAGTTGGACTGCCCCATCAACTGCCAGCTGTGACCTTGAACTAGTGTATCTCTGAATCTCAGCCTCCCTATCTATGTAATGTGAAAAATAAGGGTTCCTACCTCACAAGGTTTTCTCTGGAGATTAAATGAGCTAGTTTTATTAGCACACACAAGGTACTCAATAAACATCAGCTTCTATTACAAAACTGTGGGTGCAAGTTGAGAAAGACTTCTCTAAGGTGTTTTCATATTCTAAAGAACTCTAATGTTATTTTTGTTATTTCTCCCTTGGCTCTCTTCTTCGATCACACCAGAAATCACTCTTTAATCTACAGGTTGCATTTTGATTCTGGAAAAAAGATCACCTGACACTTAAGTATCTGGAGAGCTGTGTTTTGTTTTGTTTTGTTTTGAACCACCAGCCTTCTCTCCACCTCCTTACCCTGTCCATCAAAGGTAAATAGACAAGCTGGGGGAATGGAAACTCTCACATCTTGGTTGCCACTTTTTATCAATAGAAAGCAATGTATCCTAGTGTGAAAGAATACAAGGCTGTTATATTTGGCCTTCTCAATTTCCACAGTAAGTCCATAGTGAGTCAGACCTATATCCAATTACGTACACTATGTGATGTTCAAAAGTCACTAGGAAGACACAGAATCACTTAAGAATGTGAGCTTGAGGGTAGGGGAAAACTTTGTTTAATATGGTATGACCATGCAAATCATCCAATGGTTAGCCCAAATAAGCATATAGCCTTTATCCAAAGCGTTTTGAGCTCCTTAAGGAGCTTGTAAATAAACACAACCTGCTTTGAGAGCTCCATGTCAGAGGTCAGATTTTGCAGGTTTCATTTAGCTACACATAAGGGTCCCCACAGAGTTGGGTATTTAGGCCTGGCCATGCTTCATCAAGGCTGGTGCTGGGACTGGGGACAAACATATAGCCTCCCCTAAAAGACTGGAAAACCCCTTTTGGGTGCCTGAACCCTTCACAGGGAAAGAAGCAGGGGCCTGATGGCAGGGGTGTAAAGATGCTAAAATCTTAAGAAGGGCCCTCAGAGGTAGGCAGTGCTCTAGCAGTTGTGGCCATGGAGAGGGATGATGTGTAGCCTGTCAATGTGCTGAGGCCAATGTCAGGGCTGCAGGAGACTCCTGGCTGCCTGGGTCCTAGGTTACTCTCTAACTCAACATCTGAAGCCTCACATGGGCTGGGCAATAGGTGACACTGTGTGCTTGCTCCTACCTATGCAATCTCGGTATTATCTGTGGCCTCCCTTCCCTTCTTACTCACCCAGTTCTGAATCTCTATGCCTGAATATCTACTACAGGATGTGGGTCCAATCATCCTCCCTTCCACTGCCACATAAAGTCCCTCTGTCTACACTTGCTACCCTCCAGGGCTTCCAATTATTATGTTCTGAGTGTGGCCCCGGGGTTCAGTCTAGAGCAAGTCAGGAAGCCTTACTCCTCTCATTCCCATGTAGTTGTGATGCTCATATTTATCCCCGGGCTTCTGGAACAAAAAAGTACCATCATACCCACTCAGGTAGCCAGCAAGACCTATCAGCATCTGAGGAGAGAAGGAGAACAAACAAAAAGATGATGAGAGACTTTTAAGATTCCTCTGTCCCCTGAATTTCCCTCCAGCTGCACCCAGACTTGGTTTCTCTTGACAACTGTCCACAGGAGTTGCCAATGTGACATTTTCTCCTGCAGCTGTTGCAGAGCAAAGAATCGTTTGTCCACAGAGCTTTTTGCTTGAAACAAATCCTCTCTTGTGTTGAGGCCAAGTTCTTGGGAATAGGGCAGATTGAACATTTAGGAAGAAAAATCCCACAAAGAAAAATCCCACTGGCAAGGCCGGTGAGGGGCTCTCTCGTTCAGCCTTCTTTCATTTGCTATGAAATAAAACGTGACAGCTCATGGGGGAAGCCACGGGCAGGGGCTGATTCCTGAAAGACTGATCCACTGAAAGGGAAATGAGATTCCAAGTCAGAATGAGGACGGAGAAAAGTGGCCAAGGAGTTACATACTAGGAATGGGCAGAAGGGAAAAAAGAATGCTAAGACAGACAGACTTTCCCAGAGGAGAAAAGTCCCAGTGGAAAAAATACAAAAAGGCCAGAGACCAGTTTCTCTTATTTCTAATATTTCAAAGGAGGGCAAACTTGGCATGTTCCAAACCAGAACAAATCAACTATTATACTGAGATTTGTGAGTCCTTCAAAACGTTCAAGAAGATCAGCTCCTTCATGTCTATCTTTCCATGGCTATCAACAGTGTAAAAGTCTAGTTTCCACACAAGCAATCAGAAGCTGCTAAGACATAAAAAGTGTCAGCAAATACCAAGCATTTTTAACAGCCCCAGAATGCCCTAGCTGGGCCCCTATGCCCCACTTAGGCTGCGTGGAAGGATAGAGGACATTGGCTGTATTGAGAAAGTCCCTCCCTGAGACGCTGCTCGTGGGTCTGGACCACTGGGTCTAGATCGCTAACCAGCTCCTGTTTTACTTTAGTTCTAACCAGTTCCACTCTCTATAATTCCATGGCAAGGAACAGAA